GGTGTCCTGGGGTCGTGTAATCAGCTTTTGAGATCTTCTGAGAAGCAAAGTCAATGGGGAATCCAGATTCACTCAGCAACCATGTTACTAACTTAACAAATGCAATGATTCGCTTAACAACTGGGGCAAGAAAGGTTATAAAATGGGGCATAACATAACAAATGTTAGCAACATAAATTTTGGGCTCAATTGTGTTCGTAGCTCAAGGACTACCTGTAGTAGTTTTTCCCAGCAATGATACGCATTTATTTACATCAAGAAGTAAAGTGTCTTTGAGCATGGAAGCTCTATTTAGCTTTTGTGACATATTATTTATAAATTAGGTTTATCTCTCATGGAAGTGCAGAAAAATCCCACAAACCTCATTGCTAATTGATGTTCAGTGACTGAGTTCAGACATAGTTAAGAAGACATGCTTAACTATTCTAACTTAGTTATGGAATAAACCACACTTTATTCACACATCACATGCCAAATTCAACAAGGTAGATTATGGCATAGGCATAATAGATGAACTTAGCCACTTAAATACACCAAACATGGCTAGATACCTAGACAAACCTAGATTATTGTTTGTTGTTGTATTATGCATGCAAGTTATTAGAAGTCAAGGTTTGTTCTTGGGCTAGGAATTACAGCTACCATAGTTTTAGCCATGGCTTATCATGACCTTTGCAGTCACAATCTAGATAGTTCATTGGCTTGTTTTTACTTCTAAAGCTATCTGCCAAAAAATAGAAATGTGACAGCTACAAGAGAAAACATCTTTGTAGGCTGATGAATCATTCCTGCTTTTACTAAATTAGCCTTTCCAATATACCAGCCCTCTTTATTTCTCCCTGAACAGCCTTTCTCCAGCAGAATGCACAGCTTTTTGATTGTTGCTAAAGCAAATGGAAATTTAAAAGAACAGCAGTCAGTAGAAGTGCTGTTACTTAGTACACTACTGGAAACCCCAATTATTACAGCCCAAAGGTGCAGCATGAAGAAATGAACTTTGTTTATCCTTCTGCTTCAGTGCATATTCTAGAGGTTTCAAAGAAACTCCAAATCCTGATCCAATAATCTTGGCCAGGGCTCCCTACAAAGGTTTGTGCTCTCAGGCTCCCCAAGTAAGGCTCAATGTCTATAAAATTGTCTATAAAATATGATACCTGAAATTTGTTGGGAGATTGTTCAGCTCCCATCCTGCCCTGTCATATAACTGGCCTTAGGTGTTCATAGCAAACTGTGATGATGCTAAAATGATGAGTGAAAATATATTGTTGAAATAGTACCTGAATTATTCTGAAACAAAATATGGAGGGATACCTAGAGCTTGACGTAACCTATCAGCAGCCTTGAGTAAAATGTCACTTGTATAAACACATTCAGAGCATGGCTAAAGAACAGCTTTAAAATAAAGCCATATCAGAATAATAGATTCATTTGCAAGCATGACTAATGAACAAAATAATCCCAGAATGAATAGGAAGATATTTCATTCCAGGTCAACCTTACTGTATCAGAGGTGGGCCTAGAACAGCTGGGTAGACATGAGACCCAATGATCAATAGCTAAATTTCCCATTCTAATAGATGAAGATGTTTTTGACTAGAAAGAACACTTCCTTTCTAAAAAGGGGGATTAAATTGTAATAATACTGCATTTGGAGTAATTGAAAATGGCTGGCTAGAGATAAACACATTGTTCCACCTTAGTATAATACAAGGTGACAAAAAGAGGAGAGTTAATTTAGCTCATTTTAGATCAGTGGTTCTCAACCTGTGGGTCGGGACCCCATTTGGGGTCGAATGACCATTTCACGGGGGTCACCAAACCATGCTGTCTGCCATTTTTTCCCTTTTCCCTAGCTGTCCTACTCCCTCTTATTGGTGGCCACACCCACTTGGGGGTCACCACAACATGGGGAACTGTATTATGGGGTCACGGCATTAGAAAGGTTGAGAATCACTGTTTTAGATCATCATCTATCCACACTCAACTATCTCTACACTCCATAGCAGGGGTCTTCAAACTTGGCCCTTTTATGACTTGTAGACTTCAATTGCCTGGCTGAGGAATTCTGGGAGTTGAAGTCCACAAGTCATAAAAGGGCCAAGTTTGAAGATCCCTGATCTATCACAAGCTGCATAATGCAGGTGTGAATTTATTTATTTATTTATTTATGAGACTTATATACTGCTTTAAGTGCAAGCACTCTCTAAGCAGTGTACACCAGTAAGCAATCTGGGTCCTCATTTTACCTACCCCGGAAGGATGGAAGGCTGAGTCAACCTTGAGCCGATAAGATTTGAACCGCTGACCTGCTGAACACAGTCAGCTAAAGTGGCCTGCAGTACTGCACTCTAACTGCTGCGCCACCTTGGCTCTTTTATCTGAATGATATATGTACGCAAGGTAGGGAAACCACAGCCTTTAAGGATTCCAACAAAGATTGGCTATGGTAGGTTAACACATGATTAACCAAGTTAATTATAGCCACTTAGAGTGTGGGATGTGTTTCCACCAATTTCAGGGAGAGAATTTTAAAATTCTTTATCACAGGAAAAGTTGTAATTATAAGCCAGTGTCAAATATTCTTTTCTTGGAACAATTGATCAAGACATTGGTGGTCTATGAGATTCAGATGCATTTGTATGAAAATAATTATCTGGAGCAATTTGGGTTGGCGCTCCATTATGAGATACATAATGAAACTGCTTTGGTGATGATATCTATACTTATAACTCTATACCATCCAACTCAATGAAATAGTCTACACCCTGATTGCCTAGTCTCCATTATGAGTTGGGAGAGAGACTGGATGAGAGAAAATAAAATGAAATTAAACCCAGACAATGTGAAGATGCTGTTGATTAAAAATAAAGCAGTGAGCCAGACTGCTAACTATAAGATCACTTAATGCTTGTATTGAAAGCACTGTGCTGGTTGCCAGTTGCCTACTGGGCACAATTGCTGCAACTGATCTTTAAACTCGTAAATTGTTTAAGACCTAATCACCTTCTCCTACTATGACTGTTGGATTAGAAGTGGCCCTTTGAAAGATGCCCCTAATGCCAGAAATCCAACTATTATGTACAAAGCCTTCTTCTAAATGATTGACTATAATGTACAGTCTCCAAGAAAGTATATTTGGTCCTCAGCCTGTCAAATGTTTATGAAAATGTCAAAAACAAACCTTTTTGTGCTATAGATCAGTGATGGTGAACCTTTTAGAGACCAATTGCCCAAAAACTGGCCCCACCCCCGCTCCGCCCCCACACCATCCCCCACCCCGCCTGCCCGCAGGGCCACTCACTGCCTCCAGGGCCCACCAGATTGCCCAGACAGCCCAGCAGCGCCATGGTGGCCACGCCCTCTGCCCACGCCCTGCAGCATCAACTGTGCGCGATGGGGCATGAGGGCAGTCTTGTCTACACTGCCTGGCTGCCATGTTCTTGGCTGTGCTGCTCCGTGTAAGCCACGCTCAGGAGCGACTCCTCCAGGGGGGCTGCTGGTGAGGAGGGGGTCATGGGGGGAGGCGAGGCTGGGGCAATGGCACATGTGCCCACAGAGGGCTCCGAGTGCCGCCTCTGGCACCCATGCCATAGGTTCGCCACCACTGCTATAGATAGTTTTTAATGTTACTCATTTTAAATTTGATGGTACTGATTTTCCTTACGGTTTGTAATCTGTATTTTGCTTTGAGTGCTTATATATGTAGAAAGATGGTGTATAAATTTAATAAACTCACGCACTCCATAGTTGGGCAGCTTTATAAATAAAGTGTGGGATGCAACTGTAATGTTACTAACAATGTCTCAGGTTCCGGCTACTGTTTTCACCTATTAATTATACCAGCCACCTGGTGTTGCAGAGATATTTTGAGATTCATGAATACGGATAGTCAATTCTAATTCAAACTCAGTTGATCTCTCAAGGGGAAAATATTCCCTTCTCTGCTTTGCTGCCATCTACAGGGGGCAGGATATATGAAGAAATGCACCTAGAAATTCCTTCTTTGATAGATGCCCTCACCATCACCTTTCAAAAGAAATGCCTACTGCCCATTGGACTCTTTCAAAGGAAAGAAAAAGTTCCCCTTAATTTGCAGCCTCTTGAGCACTGCCAGAAATGCCAAGGATGTCCCAGGCCAGTGATGGCAAACCTATGGCATGTGTGCCAGAGGTGACAGAGTCCTCTCTGTGGGCACACCTGCTGCTGCCGCCATCTTGTACAAGTCCATTAGGCCACCGCTGGCGCCTGGAGCAGCAGCCCCACCCAGCAGAAAGGAGGCGAAGCAGCTGGTTAGCAAGCTTGAGTAGAGGTGGTAGAGCACGCCCCCATGTGCTCGCTGGTCTTTGTGTGCGGGGGCTGATGGTGTCAGGCAGCAGCTGCCCCTGCTTCAACTTGCCCCACAGCAATGGCACCCCCGCCCTACCCCCTGCCTCACCCCGCAGGATGAGCGTCCTGCCCACTGCCCCATCCACCAGAGACCCTCTGGATCTCCCCCAATCCTGCCCAGTCCCCACAGGCATCCCCCCCAAGCAACATCAAGTTGGCCATGCCCAACCTGGCCATGCCCACTCAGTCTACCATGACCACCACAGCTACACCCACCTAGTGGGCCACGGCCCCCGCCTCCCCTGAGGGCACCACAATGCTGATGCGGCCCTGGCACTTTGCAATAAATGATTGGGTTTTGGGTTGCGGTTTTGGCACTTGGTCTCTAAAAGGTTTGCCATCACTGTCCCAGGCTTTGTGTCTACAGCAGCCACAAATGGCGGATGCTTGGTGAGCCTCTAGTAAGGCATTAGCAATACAAGGAAGAAGTAAACACAAACAGTCCCCCCCCCCCAAAAAATCTCACTTTGGTCACATTGAGACTACTCAAAACTGATGAGTTAATAATATGTACAACAGAGTGATTGAAGCCTTTCTACCATCCTCTTTAAGAATTTTTTATAAATACAAATGACAAAACAATGCAGTTAGAAAAAAATCATTACACAGAACATTTAAGAATATTAAGCTGGTTTAATAATGTATATGTACAAAAACAAAGTAATCAAGTATGAATTGCATTGATTTATTGTACAAATCCCTTTGGACTGTATACAAAATAAGTATGGCTAGTCAAACAGCAACAGTAAAATAAATATTTAATTTTTTATTTTCAAAAGAAGCTGGCTTAAGGAAACTCCCTATTGTCTCAGCCTCAAGTAGTTTCTCAGTGGGACAATTCAGATTAAAACCGGTGCTATACATGCATAACTCTTCCTTCTATACAGTGAAATACAGCAGACTAACCACAAATGATAGGAGAGCATCCCAATAGGAAGAGACATCAAGATCAAGTGGAACCCCAAATAATTATTTGATCCACGACCCCAAGAAAATGTAAACAAGGCTCACTGAAATCAAGTTGAGCCAGAAAGGAAACAGAAATGACTTCCAAAGTTCAACCTGGCAATATGGAGGCCATTGGAAATTATTCACCAAACCTCCATGTTGACATGAGCCACTGACAAGATAAAAGCAGATTTTTCACAGATTCGTGGACATTTTAGAAGTACCTTATTCGTTTTCACAAAAACTGGAGTAGAATCTCAGGTCAGCAACTTTTTCAGGTATTGGACACCTACTTTTTTTCATTATCTGAAATACTGTAAAATGAGGTACTATGTTATCAACATCAGCAGTAGAGAATCCAGGAGCTGAGCTTGCAATATCTCTTAAGAATGAGCTCTCCACAATACAAAGCTAGCATTTTCTGTCACTGCCTGAACTAACTGGATTCAGCCCTTGAGTAATGAGCATCCTTGTAAGATGGCTGCCACTGTAAGAACTCAGCGAAGAAACTAGTGACCCTTTCTATAAGACACAGAACTTTGGAGGGGAATCATTTGTCAAATACTCAGCCCAAATGAATCACGAAATGGACAGTAAGGCTGCGCATGCTTTGAACATGATTGGGGAAAAGGTGCTTTGGAATGCATAACATCTCTTCAAAGGAACAGTGAAGGTTTTTTTCAGGCTTTCAAGAATCAGAATTCTCCCAGCGTTATTTGTTGATTCTGGAGTGAATGCTCCCCATCAGTACCAGCCTTCCCAAGAAGGAACATAGAAAGTACAGTAATACATGAATTGTCAAATTTCATTCCTGAGAACTGGTCTTTGTCAGGTTCAATCTTTTGGCCAAACAGTATTCATTGGAGGGCCCGGTTTATCAGTGTTCTTCAAAAGGCCCCTTACTCAGCCACCTGTAAAAACTCTGAAGTGAAGACAGCTTCTGCATAGTCCTCACAGAAGCCATGGAGCTCAGCTGCGACATCTGTCAACACTTCCTCTGTCAGCTCCTCTGCCAGGCTGAAAGGAAAGAAATGGAAGGAGCTCAACAGCCAAGACTTAAGTTCCAAACTTCTACAACATCCTACAATCTGATCCAGAAGCAGCAGCATGTGGATCTCTCTCTCTCTCTCTCTCTCTCTCTCTCTCTCCCTCCCCCTCCCTCCCTCCCTCCCTCCCTCCCTATCTCTTCAGTCACTCCCCTCAGTCCTGGCGTCAATCCTTCAAGATATATCAAACCAGGAAAGCAAAGTCACTTAGTATTATAAAGATACCGTAACAGCATCTTTCAAGCATGAATATGCTTCATCCCTCCCTCTCTTCATCTCTGTGAAAACTACAAAGAGTGTTGCATAAGATGTTTCCTCATGTTGCACAGCTTTTTTTTAGATTTTTAAATTCCACCTTTATTATTTTTATAAATAACTCATGGAGGCGAATGTAACTCATACTCCTTCCCACTCCTATTTTTCCCACAACAACAACCCTGTAAAATGAGTTGGGCTGAGAGAGAATGACTGGCCCAAAGTCAGCCAGCCAACTTTCATGGCTAAAGAAGGACTAGAACTCACAGTCTCCTGGTTTTAAGATTGGTGCCTTAACCACTAGACCAGGGGTAGGTCCACGAGTCATAAAAGAGCCAAGGTTGCCTACCCCTGCACTAGACCAATCTGGCTCAGTTCCACTCTGGAATCATTTTTTTTTCTTGACCATAGTCTTGATACTAGTTCTTCCTCCTGTCCCTCAAGACTATTCCCTACAACTAGGAAGAAGGAACTGGAGGGCCACTGAAAAATGCTGCTAAGAAAACTGCAGGAGGCAGTCACCAAGAGTCAAAACTGACTTGAAGGTGCAAATTTAGTCCTGTCACAGGTGCATTGCCAACTATCAAACAGTTAATCAAGGCATTGGCAGCAGCAACCCTACTTGACACCCATTGTTAGTCTTATCTCCTTATTGCCTGCACCTGGTGGAACTGTTCCCTCACCCCTCCCTTGGTGCACCACAACCCTAACCCTACTATAAAGGGATTCTGCACATGTATGAATCAGGTATGTGTCCCACTGAGGGTGGGCTTGTAGAAAACAAGACAAAAACATTAGCCGTGGCAACTGGGAATGGAGATAAAAACTTTTGAGAGCAGCTACTCTTGACAATGCCTCTGAAACAGAAGTGTGAAGGAAGGTAATAAGATATCCAAGAAGAAGGCAATTAATGTGACAAATCAAAAATTAAATAATATTCTAGTTATTTTTTGCCCCACTGGGAAATTGTGAAAGGAGCCAGAGAAAAACAAAGGCAGAAAAACAGAAGATGGACTGCCACCTAGTGGCTCTAAGAGGATGCACAACACAATCGTCTTCAACCTCTACCAGGTGTTTCTCAACTTTAGCAACTTTTAAGATGTGTGGACTCCAACTCCCAGAATTCCTCAGCCAAGGGAAGTCTGGGAGCTGAAGTCCACACATTTTAAAGTTTGAAAAACATTGTTCTGTTTTCTGACAGTGGAGTATGGGTTTTTGAAATAAAAACAACAAATCCCTCCATAAGATACAAAGAAAGCAAGCACACCAAGATTCCCCATACCTCTCTGCAATGTTCCAAGGGTTAAACTGCCCCACCTCCTCAAGGAAAATCCCCTTCAGGTGCTGCTGGTATCGGGCATCATAATCACAGAGGCTTTGGAGAACACGTTTCGGTACTGAGAGGAAAGTGCCAGATTCTTTCTGTGGGGGGATGCGATGTGTAAAAGACTGCAGAGTCCCACTCCTGGGCTCTGACAGCTCTTCATCAATAGCACTGAAAGCACAAATACAACCAGAGTTAGGAAAAATTTGATCAGACCAAAAGCCTCTACTTCATTGAGATGGTCCTGTTATGACCAACACCTATGCGAAGCAAACAGGCTGGGCATGATGGCAATGGCCTTCTCCCCCATTTCTTTCCTTGGGCCTGCTATGCAGAGGATTTAGGATCTTCCAAATCAGATTCATAGTGCAAAAACAATAGGATCTCATCAAAGTACAGCTGTTAACTCTTTCTGTAGTCCCCTGCTTCCTTATTCTTCTCATGCTCATTTAAGCTTAAAACAGACCATCTTTTGTCACCCAAGTTTATTTAAATCAGTGTTTCTCAACCTTGACAATTTTAAGGCATGTGGACTTCAACTCCCAGAATTCCACAGCCAGCATTGCTGGCTGTGGAATTCTGGGAGTTGAAGTCTACATGCCTTAAAATTGTCAAGGTTGAGAAACACTGATTTAAATGCTCACGTCCCTTAACTGGAGGTGCTTGTTCCTTTCTAACCAATCTCTTCAACCACTGATTCTAAACCTCATCTATCTCCTGAACAATCAAATAAAACAATAAAGCCCAACAAGTTTTGGTGAGAAGGTGAAAAGTCAAAGAAAGCAAAGTTACTTCTCTTTCACTTCAGCCCACCTTCCGACTTTCATTCATTTGTTCATGTCGAAAGATTTAATTCTGCTCTGCTTATAAATTCTTTGAAGAATCATGTGAAGCAAAATGGTGGGCTAGATGGAACTGCCTCAGTCTATTTAGCACTAGTGTTCCTACCTACCAAATTCCCACTGAGTCCTCAAGCCCTCCCCGCTTTTATTTTCCTGAAGTACTCATATTATTGCTATCCTGTGAAGCCTTGATAATTTGATTATTCCCAAACATGCTATCCATTCTAGCCAACGGGGCAAATCCATTTTTAGTATAAACAAAGATGATGCTGAGCACAGTAAGCTGTTAAATCTCTTACTCACCTGGCATCCAAGGGTTTTTCCATCACAATGGCTACTTGTGGCTCTTTGTAATTATCTAGTTTAGTTATCTGGATGGGATGAACAACCCCAGGTTGTTGGTCTTTCACTACAGACTCTTCCTCTAGGAGAAGGAATTGTCAGAAGAAGAATTACCTCACCAACATCAGAGTAGGCAAGCTCCCACTGTATTTCAGATTTTATCTTCCCCATTCTTTTAACATATTTTTATAGAAACATAAGCCAAGAGAAAACTATGGAGTATTTATTTGCTGATCATGAGAATTTTTATCCATAAGATTTCATCATAATATCAACCAGATGTCTGTTTCCTTCATCTCTACAACATACACGTATTAAGAATGTAAAAATATACATTCACAACCAGAAAAATGAGGGAGAACCATTCACTGCTCAGCTATTATTTCTTAAAAATCCAAAACCAAACTGGAAACTCACCTTTGCTCTCCTGGACCCAGAAATCAACATCAGCGTAAGCAATCTGGTTGTATCGTCTGCGTACAGCTTCTTGGTAGTGCTTCAATATACAAAGATAAACCCAATATTACTCAACAAATAGTTTGACTGTGTTGGTGAGAGACTGGGAGACTGACAGATTAAAACACTCCTAGTAAAACAAACTGCTCTACTTTTGTGCAGTGAGAAACTTTAATTAACGGAGAATTCAGGATGGGAGAAGTTATCTTTACTCTCTCTGAAAAAAAGTACTTTTATACAATACTTTTCGTACAGGATACAATAAATAAAATATATCGTATTAATGTCCTGCTACAAACCTGCAGGGCTCTGGGCAGCCCACAGAAAGACAAAAAAATACAAAAGAAATATAAAATCATATAGCCCAAGAGTTTGATTTGGGTATCAAATTTTGATAATGGATGGGGGTAAGAAAAATGGGAATATTGCCCAGAATGGAATGTCTACATTTCTAACATTTTGAGTATCTCAGAAATCTCAAGGAATTTTCAGAAAAGGAGAGCAGAGCTCAGTTTGTAAGACACAAATTTTGCACAGTTGGCACTCTATGCTGGTTGAGGAATTTTGGAAATGCCAACCCCAACACATCTGGGTGGCATCAGATTAGAGGAAGATGGACAAAAGCATAGACTTCAGCCTGTAGTATTTCTCCCCACTTTTCTCATGTGCAAAAATGCCAGATGGCACATATCAAAAAGGCTGTTTTTTTCCCTTGAAGGAGGACAAAATGCAGCTCCTATAGCAGCAAAATATGGCAGAGTCTCATGATATTCCTTGAGCTCAATACTTGAAGTGCTTGACCACTGAGAGACATCAAAGCTCAATTACCTGATGCACAGGCATAGGTCAGCAACCAACAAATAAATGTACCTCTATTTCCTCCATCCTCTTCATCATTGTCTCCAGATCAGACATGCTGAGTGCAGAAAGAGCCACATGTTCCATCTTCTTGCACTGTTCCAGATAGCAATCCTCCAAAGAAATACCTGGTAAGCTTGTTGCATCCTAAAGAGAAAGAGAAAGAGAGGGAGAGGGAGGGAGAGAGAGAAAGAGAAAGAGAGGGAGAGGGAGGGAGAGAGAGAGAGAGAGAGAGAGAGAGAGAGAGACAGAGGGAGAGGGAGAGAGAGAGAATGTAATGTAATGTAATATAAAACAACTGCATACGAAAAGAAAAACACAACTGGACAAACTGGAAGAAAATAAAACTGATAACAACTCAAATCAAGGGAAGGCTCCGAAAAAATGTAAAGACTTGTGGAAAACCAGCAGAGGGAACCAGCCTAGTCTCCCCAGAGCGATTATTTCCACATATAGATGCTGTAACAAAAAAACATAATTATACAATTTATACTCTTATTTTAAATTTAGTCTTATGTGAAAATTATGATTGAACATCGAAATGTATTGTTCTGGGTGACTGTCCTGTATTTTTGTTTCTTCTTGCCTTACAGAATATTAAAAGTGAAAAAAACTAAAAATGACTATGTGGAAGTATTTTGTCTCTAAGGTGAAATTTATTTGGCTTTAGACTCCTTTAAAACTTTTTTTTGTCAAGATGCTCTCTTGGAGCAAGGTTGCAAAGCTAAATTAGTTTAGGAGATAGGGATGATTAAACATACAGCCGTTTTAAAAGAAAGCAGGAAGAAAAGTCTGGCACTTTTTTTAATTACTTTGTAAAGTCTGACACTTTTTGCTTAAATTATCACGCACTGGATGCCCAATGTGAAACTGTTTAATAATCAAGTAAGCTCAAAACTGAGGGGAGGTGATTGTGTGATGGATTTCGACAACATAGCATCCAAAGCAATTGAGAAAAAGAATTAACCTGAAAGCCACATTTATTTACAAAAGTGGAGCTTTCTTTTCAGCCATAACCACATTCAACATCTACTTTGGACAGCTGACTTTCTGTACTGTTTTTTAGCCATTTTTCTGCCTGATCATTTAACATAGGCCTTGGCAACCTTATTCATACAGCATCTCTAGCTAAACTTTAGCTGAACTGTGTGTGCTCCCATGTGAAAAGCAGGATATAAGTCTAATTAATGTAACAATTAATTCTAATAAGCATGACTCAGTTGTTGCCTTATAAGCCTTACTTCTTGCATTTAGCCAAGGCAACAATTTTATTTGAGGTTCTGGCTGATACAAGCGGTAAGACTTTGGAAGCAAGAGTTGAGTCAGGTTCATCATATGTGAAATATCCAGCCTTGGGGTGCTCTTCAATAAAAGTTCTGGAAAGAAAGGAGGGTGCTATTTCTTCATTTTATCATCAAGGAATTATGTCAAGAAAATCAAAAAGAAAAGAGGAAGAATGTGATACTCTACCTGTCCTTTTTCCAAGAGGAGCTCCAGATCCTCAGGATCAGCTTGCTCTACCTTCTCTGTTGGGGAAACACCATTGTTCCTGAAATTTTTCAAACAATACAGGACAGTGACAATCTGATGACTCATGTCATCTTTTAAAGATGCGACTAACAGAACACACATAAATAACGGTAGGACAGCATAATTCAGCATCTCTCCAGACTGGGCACTCTGAAGCATACGCCTTTCAGAACATAGGCTTTTATAATACTATGGAAGAGCCTAAAATATTTCCCATTTGCATTCCTTGTTTAATGCATTCCTGAGAGATAAGACTGAAACAGCCAAATATATCCCAGGTTTTAATTCTTTCCTCACCAAATGCAAAAGAATACACAAAAAAAGAGAAATAGACCCAGGGAACTGGAGCTTCCACTTTCTTCCTACAGCTCAGAAATCACAGAAATTGGAAGCTTTTTCCAAAAGTGAAAACCCAACCGATGCCTCGGTCATCACTTATGCTCCTATTCAGGTTAGTACTAAAGACTATAATCTAGAACAAACATAGTCAAAAGAGATGAAATAATGATGTCAGGTGTTTATTTGGATCCAAAATCTTATTTTATTCCCCTGGGAGTAATGAAAGATGGTGAGATTTTTCTGTTGCAATATTCTTGCAAAATCTTGCTATACTCTTGACATCTGACAAGGTCAAGTGCCAAGCAGGTGTAAGGACTTAGTTCATTTTACATATAGTTTTCAAAGAAAGCAACAAATGCTAAATGTATACACACAGCTTTTCATGAAAACACAGCCATTGGGACTGCCCTTTAAGGTACTTCTACTCTGCCCTCTTAGGTTCAACTAATAAATAACAAGTAATGATGGAAACAAAGCAGAGTTTTTTCTTTTCTCTCATAATTTTGGAAAATCATCTCAATTGCTTCTTTTTGGTCAGGATGTAAAATCTAGGGTATTGGCACATTTCATTTTTTCCCCCATAGCTAGTTTTCTTTTACTTGCTCTATTCTAGACTGGCCTAGGAAACCAAGCCCAATTCAGATCTCTTTCCAAAGTAAATGTCCTTCCATATGGGCTTCAGTCCAAATTTAGAAAGACAAATGATATCTATTGGGGACCAAGAAAAAAAAATCCATATCTATGAGAAAAAGCCACCTTAGTGTAGTGGTTAAGGCCTCCGGATAAAAACTGAGAGACCGCATATTCTATTCCCATGTTAGGCACAAAGCCAACTCAATGACCTTGGCCCAGTCATTCTTTCTCAGCCCTAGAAGGAGCCAAAGGCAAATCACTTCCCAAAAAAACTTGCCAAGAAAATTGCAAGAATTTGACCAGGCATGAAAAACTGACTTGAAGGCACAGGGAGGGAAGAAGAGAGGGAGAGGGGGGGGTGGATTCCCAAAATGCAACTATTTAAAAATCCACAACCTTCCACCCTCCCTTTCCTGCTTACCTGGGCACTTCTTTCTCAGGTATTTCTTGTTCCTTGGTCTCTATCTCCAGAGATGGCTCTGTATTTTCAGGATTTTTCTCCAGGTGCCTACAAGAATGTTGAATTTCAGTGGGAGAAGAAAAATAACAAGACAAGGCAAGCTTATCATCGCTTTTGCAATCCCACTGGTACCTATTATAAATTTCCACATCATAAATTAATTATAGACATTGTTGTAAACTTCAGCTGGGGAATGAAATATTTCTTCAAGCATTCCAGAATGAGGGACAGGAATGTGTCTCCAAAGAACAAGAGGGCCTCCTCAGAAGAGGTTGACAGTTGCTATTTTACTGTAACTAAAGGATTTCAAAAGTGGTGATTACAGGGCTATGACTAAGCTTACATTCAGATAGTTCTAGGGCAGGGGTAGGCAATCTTGGCTCTTTTATGACTCGTGGACTTCAACTCCCAGAATTCCTGAGCCAGCATAAAAGAGCCAAGGTTGCCTACCCCTGTTCTAGGGTCATTCCATATTATCACTAGGTGATCATTGAAAACATCTGAAATTCTGCAGAATGAAGATTATACTGAACCAAATGCAACAAATATCTGATCCACCTTAGTACACAGCAGCTCTGAATGTTTCAACCTCCAGATACAATCCCAGAAGCTATACTTGAATAAACTATTGCCATTTGCCATAAATGAACCCTCATTACCCACTGTAGATGTTTATACCCCTAACAACTGCCCTTGCAAGGGTGTCAACCTACCGCAGAGCAGAGGGGAGGGGAGACTTGACACTGGGAGGCATCCATGGGACCCTATTATCTCGGACGGGTGGTTTGGTCTCCTTAAGCCGGAATGCAAAGGTGGGCTCTAGAAACCGAGCTTGTTTGGCTACAGGCTGCACTGTTTTTGTTTTGGGAGGTCGACAACTACCCTTTAGAGAAACAAAAACATTAAAATAATATGTGTTTTCAGACACGTTTAGCAGTTTTTCTACACAACAACATCTATTAAAGCCTTTATTTCAATTACTGTAATTTTGGAAGAAAAGACATTACATCATGGAAGAAAGTGTGTCTCACAGCACCTAAAATTAAGCTTAGAGACAAGGAAGAGGAGGAATAGCTGATGATTATATAAGTGTACCTGAGGTCTAATGGAAAACAAGCCTCCTCTCTTCTTCATCAGAGTCCCTGCTTTCAGTTCTGAAGCAGAGCCGGCTTTCAAAAGTCCTGATCGCCCTACGGTCTCACCCTTGCACTGTGCCACTGCCCCTCGCTCAATGGGGAGTACGTCTTTCTGGGCTCTTGTGCTGCAGTGACTGATTTTCTTGTGTGGTAACAGGATTGCAGATTCTGGATATTCATCTAAAGTAATTTGTTACAACGATGTTACACACAGTATATTGATTTATTATATGACCATGACACTTTACAAAGAAGGGGTAAGAATAGTTGCATACCATAGGGCACTTACTATCTAAAATAGGGGACAGGAAAAAACAGTATGCAGCACAGACATACTAAAAACAGAGGCGAACATACTTTGACTTAATTACAGTAAGACCTAGGGATAGGAAGCAGAGGGAATAATTTTAAGAGGAAGCAGGAGTCACATAATAAACATCCAAATAACCATTTTTTCCTCTTAGCATTGTCATCTGAAGTATTCAATTCTGAACATCCTCAATTCTGAACATCCAACTGGAGCAGAGATTAAGTTACAATGAGTAACTCCAAACTCATCTGGGTCTACAATTTTTCTGGGGGAAAATTCAAACAAGATCTGTAAGAATTACTACCCAAACTTCTTCCAACTCAACACCCAGAAGGCTCACCGGGAAGAAGTTTCCGAGCCACTGAAGACTTTTTTCGGTCCAACACACAAGATTTCTTTTGCTTTTTTGGCAATCTGTTGGTACTTTTTGGTGCATCAGCTTGAGAGGTAGAGAACCATTCCTGTCCTTTCTTGGGAGACTCCTTTTTGGACAACATAGAGTCCAGGTCCTGCCATAGCAATTTATATCAGATTAAACATACAAAAAATCTTAAACTGAACATCCACAATCCATGCCACAGGATGCAAAGTTCAGGTGGATGCTCAACCTTCCTAATTGACAAAACATAAAAAGACCTCTGAATAAATTAAAAGAAAAATACTATCTAGCTAATATACTCACTATGTGCTACAAGATTTAGGGATGGTTTTAAGATAATGTAATTATATTTCTCATCCCATGGGCAAAATACATTTTTTTTAAAAACCTAGACAACCCATGATCTGTTGAGTCATCCTTTTAGAGATATCTCTTTATCATATTCCTCAATGCCTTCAAAAATGACAGTCCTGCCTTTACTGGAAAGTTGGGATACATTCAGAAATGTATCTGCCTTGAAAATAGCCCACGATGAACTATATAGCACAGTCAAATATCGACACAGGAAGTGTTTTCTGACATTTTGCATTATGTCATAAGCTGTTTTATGATAATTTTTATCATAAAATGTTATATAAAATTTGCCAACTTCCAATTCCACAAGAGTCATGACTCAAGCTAGCCTCTTTGGGTTCCTTGGTTCAAAAATGGTTGCCCACCATGCACCATTTCACCCAATTAAAAGTTACTAAGCGCTTTAGTAGCATATAACTTTAACATATTCTCAATTAAATGTGAAATTCAAGAGCAATGGCACATTCCTTAGAGATCAAATGCTAAAACATGTCATTATTCAACGCTTAGTTCAAAGGATCGTGCCTTCCCTGGATGATGGAAATCTGTTCCTCCCCATGAAGAGTTATATACACCGCCTTGGATGCCAGGCAAAGAAAAAACTCACTCTCTCCTGACCTCAATTTGTAGAAGCAGGTCTATGATGATATCAGGAATGGATGAGTCCATCTCAAGGCGAGCAGAACAGAGAGAGAGCTGCCTGATGAGATTGCCCAGCTCTTTACAATGCGCAGAAGCAGACTGCTGCTCTGACTGATCAGCAAAATGAGAGACAAACATCTGCAGAGCTCGGATGGCACCTCTGTGAGCTGCTGCCAACTTGGCCATAGCTTGTGACTGCATCACAAAGGAAAAAGAATTCTGGCTTGAATCAAGTAATCTCTTGTCAAGAACCCAGAGCAATTCCGCCCGATCTTTAAACACTAGTTCCTTGGCGGCTTGGTCAGATACATGGATTCATTTTCCTAAACTCCCCAGCTAGAATGGGTACTGGGGAAAATTCTGAGGGTTGAGGCCCACACAATCCAAGACACCAAGATTGGAGAAGGCATTTCTAGTCTGTATCAGAAGAAGGACTGTAATAGAATACACAAAATCAGACTGCTATGATGATACGCAAAGTACAAACGTCAGGTCTGACTGAAAGATCACACAGCTCAGTGAAAAGCATACTGAACACAAAGTTTAAAAAGTTATCCACATGCTTCCAACTATTCTCCAAAAGGACCTTTAGGGAGGCTCCAACCTCAGCAACTGTAAGATGGGTGAACTTCAACTCCCAGAATTCCCCAGCCATGTCTTAAAAGTTGCTGAGGTTGAGAAACACTGCTCCAAAGGCTCCAAATGAGCTTTTCCCCTCATCACTCAGTTTCCCCCCCCCCAAAAAAAACTTGTAAAGCAATTTCATCTCACCTTCTTTGTATGTTTAATTTTAAGGGGACTCAGCTTCTCCAGATCTTCTTGGATTTGTTTTACCTATTTGATAATGCAACAAATAAATTAACAACAGAATGCAGTTTGCAAAGCTCTCTGTCCATATAATAAAATCTGCATTTCGAACCAAGCTATCTGGTTCAGGCTGCCTTGTTTTGATTCCCTAGTTCATGGGTAGGCAACCTTGGCTCTTTTATGGCTGGCTCAGGAATTCTGGGAGTTGAAGTCCACGAGTCATAAAAGAGCCAAGGTTGCCTACCCCTGCCCTAGTTTGAGTCTGAAATATCTTCCCAAAGTTTGTTCAGACCTGTTGCTGGAGCACGTAGAGCATTCGGGCAGAGCGCACAGTTTGTTCCTGCCTCCGAATATGGACCCGGCGTTCTTCCTCAGGATCCAGACATATTTCACTTCTCTCTGGGAAAAAAAAGTTTAGCAAAACAGTTGATTATGCTCAGTTATGAACAGACAATTTGGTGTAGAAAACACGAAATACATAACACAATTACAATTGAGGACAGACAATGAAGAAAAATGTCCGTGTCACTCAAAAGCCATCAAAAAGTGTTTCAAAAACTGTATTAAATGCCCTATATCCCATAATAGCAGCTTAAATCCAGACTACACAAGAGAAGTCAGTAATTTTCAGACAGTTCTTCAGTTTACTGTCTCAAGTGTAGACTTTTTAAACTGATTTCTCTTTAATTCTTGCAGTACAAATAATCAGCTTATGACTATCCTCAAAACCAATGGGCTTAAACTCAGATTATGTCACATGAGATCACTGAAGCTTTTTCATACATTGATGCAAAAATGAAGAAACTGAACGTATCATAGTATGCTAGTAAGCATGTAGTTATTAAATTAAAGACATACTGTATTACTGCATAATAGAGAGTTTCAGTCTGGCCACATATATTTGATTTCTTACTGTGTTGATACTTTTTTCCCCCAAGATCAGTGCTGCAGAATATCATTGCAGACTTCAGAAAATGAATAAGGGGACGATATGCAACACATGGGCTATAATTTTAAGACTCTAATCTGTCTGTGGGAGAATCTGGCTGCAAAGTGCACATACTCTAGTTAGCAACATTGGCAAAAAATAATCTCTGGTCAAGCACTATTACGAACATTTCTTTATATTGAATTGGAAAATGGCTAGCAGGATAAATGGGCGGGATAGCAGGCACAGAGCCTCATGCTTACTCAAGTCTTCTTTATAAGCCTCATTTAGACTTGAGAACTTACACAACGAAGTCCTGAAAGTCAGGAACAACAATTACAAAGACTCATCGTTCTTTGCTATCAGTTAGCTTGCCACAATTTTCTTTCCCTGTAAGGTTAATTTTTTTACCTGCTTCTCAGGACTTGCTACAAGAGTACTGGTTGCATTGAATTCAAAGCCTCCATTCAGTGGGAAACAGACAAAGTCAATGAAGCTTCTTCTGCATCACCAATCACAAGACTTATATGCGAGTACCTAACTTGTTAGGCCAAGAGAGTGACCTGTATCACTTCTACTTCTTTGTATTACATCTTCATTCAAGACAGCCATGTGGTCTAACTTCCAAACAAAGCTATGATCAAATTTTGGCCACATCATAACTATAACTCTTTCCCCCTTACCTTTTGTTGCTAGCAATTCAATTTTCTGAATGTAAGTCTGAAGCTCTTTTTGCAGCCTTCTGATTTCAACGGCACATTTGTCTTCCTCTTTTTTGGGCCCAGGTCCTGGATCCCGAGTTGGGGGAGAATCAGACAAAGCGGGTTCTGACTTGACATGACTTGGATCACAAAGGAGGACTTTTGCTCCAGTACTGTTCCTCTCCATCTTAGAAGGGTTACTAAGCGGGTGTTCATATTTCGGGTGGGACTTAGATGCTTTCAACACTGCAGCATTCCCTGATTCCTTTCCCCAACGGCATCCCACAGGACACTTATTCATCTTGGCGAGATGCTGCTTCACTTGCTCTTGCAGGTGCTTCCTTTTCACATCCCTTCTGGCCAACTGAACAGCCAGGTTGAGCTTCTCTTCAGATACAACTGAGAATTCAACAGAGTCCCTTAGATCAGCTCCATCACCAGCACCTTGATTTTGTTGAGTTGCTGGCTGTTTCAGCTTTTCTATGATAATTGGACAGGGATTGGTGTAGTGGATAGACAGGTTTTCAGTCAATGCAGGAGCATTCCGGCTGAACTGCAGCTGTTTCAAACATTTAAAACAGGCAGTGTGGTACAAGGTGAGTATTGGATTAAAATCACCCAAATGCAAATCTCTGTTTAACTAAAAAAACTCCATTGGGCAACTGAACAGAGTTGTGGTGAGGATTAAAAGTGGTAGTGGAGACCACTATATATGCTAGTATACTTACTCATGTTTCTATGTACAAGCATAAAATAAGGATCTTAAATTATTTCCCAATCTAGTTGACTAAAAAAGTAAACTAGTTAATTAAAAATTAATCTACTTTATACTAATGTAATTATCTGTTAACGTCTCCTCAGAAAGAACAGTTATATAGCCCAAATATACCTTATACCAGGGGTGTCAAACTTGCAATGTCATGTGATGTGTCGCGACATATCACAACTTTTTTGCCATTGCCAGCAATGGGGTAGGCGTGGTTTCACTATGATGCATCTGGCCCCCAGGCCAGCAGTTTGACCCCCCTGCTTTATACTAACTTTAGAAGAGTAAGAATAATTGTTCTGCAAAAGGAAGGAAAGAAGACAAGTGTGTGCCATAAGGTCTACGATTCCTCTCATATTCCTCTGAGGAACCTCCAGCAATCTAAATAGGCATTATATCTCAATTCATACATGGAAAAATGCAAGAGGTTGTATGAAACATATTAAAAGCAGAAAACATAAAACACATCCAAACAGGACTTTACTTACTGGATTTATGATCATTAGTATTAAAAACACAAATTCCATGAAATATGTTTTTAAGAATTTTCCCCCGTTTTAATTTTCCATTAATATTTAAGTTTAATATTTTTTTAATATTAAGGTTAATATTTATCATTTCCAAAATTTGGAAATGAAATATGTTTCTAAGAATCAGCACCCCTCACATCATTGGTTTGTTTTAAAAAAAAAAAGATAGGTAGGCAATGCTAGAATACATATTGGCAAGCTTATTTACATGTTAGCATTTCATCATGTAAAATCCACAGAAGATGCTGATGTTGTGCAATACCTGTATCTGTGGGGGCTTTGTATCAGTTTTGGCCAGTTGTATGTGGGATACCATAGGAATAGTGGTTGTAGTTGCTTTTCGCAGTTCCATCATAATTTCCAGAATCTCAAGCTCCTGTTGTTTATGAAGTTACTGAAAGTCACCAAATATTAAACCACCATTAGCATAAACACATTCTGTTTTCTTAGCTGAAAGACCCTCTTATTGTTCACTTAATTAGGCACAAAAATTTTAATTTTCTGAGCATGCTTAGAATTGCAATTCACTCATCAACACTTACAATGCTTAGAAAACAAGTGTTAAGGTTATCTTTTTAAAAAATTATGGAACCATTTTGTTTGGTTTGGTTTTATCTGTTTTTTCAATTGCTTTTGTAGAATGTTTTAATTACTGGTTTTACTATATGCCATCCAGCATCACTTTGTGTGAGAAGAGCAGCCATTCAAATCTTATGAACAAACTCTTAGGTAAGTCTTATATAGCCAGGTGTCTCTCAAAAAACAGCAGAAAAATGCTGCTTGTCTCCAATATTAAATATCTGAAAGAAACACATAGAGATAAATATCAGAAATAAAGCCTCTTATAATAAGGCTAATTTGCCATCATTCTATCATTGGTGTAACTAAGCAAAGGCACTAACAAGTTACAGTTTGCTTCTCCTTTACAAAGACTTTGAGAACATGGTAGACACACAGACAGGAGGAACCTTTTGCAAAAAAAGTTGTAACCAGAAACAGAATAGATTTGACTATAAGTACCTAACCATCTGCTACAATTACTTATAAAAATGCTAATTATATTTTTAAAATTCTTAATAATCTATAAAATCATTCATCACACAGATGTAGAAAATTCTTCCAGAAAAAAAATCAGGAAATATCACGATTGATATGGAACATTTATAGTTATGCCAAACTTTGACAATCACTGGGGTTTTTAAAGTTAACGAAGACTTGATCCAGCTTGGGTCCACTTTTGTTCTGCTTATGACCGCCCAAATGTCATAAGCAGGATTGGGGAAGATTGTATAGTGCAATCTATCGATAGTGTAAGCTCGGAGTTGAAATGAGCTTGGTTGTTTCTTGCAGACGTTTAGTTTGGGTAATGAAACATCTGCAAGAAAGTAACCAAGCTCACTAACGACTCCTCAATGCAATCTATCGCTGAGCAGCACGCACACCAATACATGTTTATTTAGTTAGCCGCTGCAAGGACTGGATCTTTGCTGTTGCTATATTTAACCTAGATAGGTGCAAAAATCACGATGAGATTCCCTTTCTTCCTCCCCTTCTCTCTCCAAGAAAAAACACGGGTCAAACCTGACGAATTACCAGAAGAAGGCTACAGAGCCATAGCAGAGGTCTGCTACAGGCCGAACCGATCCCGCCTCTCCTTACTTCCTTAGCAACCGGCGCGTTGAAAGACGCCTTGAAACAGTTCGCGGAAAACGGGTGGCGATAATAGCCAATTAGCTGCCGGGAAAATTCGCAACGCCCTCAATCCAATCCTGAAAACTCTTTTGAAAGTGTTTGGCCCAGGCGGCCACCATCCTCTGGGGGGTGTGGTCCTTGCTTTTCCCCTTTCGCCTTTCCACACTTCCGCCCTTCCAGAGACACGAGATTCCACCATGGGTTGGGAAGAGATTTCTGTGCACGGATACGATGAGTTCGATCGGGTTGCCCACGAAGAACAAAAGCGCGGCCAAGTGTTTGTGTATTTTAGCGGTGACAAAGATCCAAACAGCGGTATTAGTTGGTGCCCAGATTGTGTTAAAGGTAGTCAACTTTTCTCTATATAATTTTATACGCATGGCTTTCTCCACCGCCTTTTCTCTGCAGTCAGATACTGTAAATGTATCTGCAAAGGGTTTTGATCAACAAGTTCTTAAGTTTAACTATTTCTAATTTCTTTTGTGAAATGGTTGCTTGTGAATTGCCTTAAAAGGTTACTTGAGAAGTTGTCTGAAGTTGTCTTTTGAGGCATTTGAAATGCGAAGTCTATTAGTCCATGCACATACACAAACACCTCTCTGTGTGCTATGAACTAGCACAGTGTTTCTCAACCTTGACAGTTTTAAGGCATGTGGACTTCAACTCTCAGAATTCCACAGCCAGCATTGCTGGCTGTGGAATTCTGGGAGTTGAAGTCCACATGCCTTAAAATTGTCAAGGTTGAGAAACACTGAGTTACTAGCACGAGGGGGAACCAGTTCAAGGGAGGTTCTAGTGAAACTGGGAGAGGGTACTATGTTGGACAGGAGGGCATAGAGATGAAAGTTGCAGTATAAAATCTATTACTAGTGTTTTTGCTGTAAGGTCTCATTGGAAAGCTAATCCTTTTATTATTATTTTAGCTGAACCCATTGTAAGAGCTGAACTCCCAAACCTGCCAGATGGATCTATATTCATTTACTGCCAAGTAGGACCCAGAGACTAGTAAGTAAGGTATTTCAGAAAGATGATAGAACTACTTTGGTTCTGCCAACCAAACAAGTATTGTACATATGGTTCATAAAAATGTAACATTTTAGTCTGTTGTCAAGTTGTATGAGGGTCTTAATGTAGTAAAAATATTTAAAACTTTCCATGTGCAGAATGTCCTCGAACATCAGCCAAAAAAAAAAAAAAAACCTTAAAAGGAACTTCTTCTAAGTTTAAGTTGCAGAAATATTGGCTTTAGTTTAAGCGCAATTTTGAGACAAATAACTACTCGGATCAGATCCTACTCTGCAATAATTTCCTGCTTATACTTTGCTTTCCCCTCTGCCAGATCTGCTCTTATCAGCTGAACTTTACCATTTTGAACTCTGAAATTTGATTATTTATATAGCTGCCAGTGTCACTGTTCCATGATTCTAAGTGGTTTACAGTAAAGCAAATAGGATGTATCTGCCAAGAATTTATTTAATTTATATAAATTTCTAGGTCTATCCACTCACTTGGACAGCACACGAAAATTAGAAATGGAATGAGTATTTAAAAACCCATTGTAAACAGCAGGTATCCCAACCAAGCAGGTATTTACTGGGTCTTATAAGATAGCACTGCTTAAAAGATGGGATCTGAGCATACCTGTTCTGTTGAATTTGGATTTTACAGAAAGTTGGAGAAAGTCACTCCCTAAAACAGGCATGTCAAACTTGCAGTTTGACATGCCTGCCGTAAAATAACCAGGCCCTGTACTATGTAGGGTTTTGTAGCTAATGCCCAGCATCTTGAATTGCAGCTGAAAGTATGGTGCTGATACATAACCATAGTTTTTTATACCACTTCATTCTGGACCAACTGTTATGCTTTAATTGTTTGAATCTAAAAGATTGCAAATTTATAACAGAGCTGCAATTGGCTATAGTTTATTTTCATATGATTTCCACACATAGCAACTGTCTTGTGCATTTGCAAAAACTTCCTTTTCCCCACCTTGAAAGTTGTTTTTTCTGAAATGCAGCAATGTTTGAAAAGATGTTGAGTGCATTGTACTCATGTGGTCTGTTAGGGAAAAAAATCTGTCTGGATCACATCAAGGGTAATGTACTTTTACCAACATCTGCCTTTTTCAGTAGTCAGTCAAATATGGGAACTTCCATTTATTATAAATTTATCCACACAGAATATTTTAAAAAATGGTTTTCTTCCAACATTCAAGTATATTTAAGCTATAAGCTATAAAACCATTATTTTAATTTCTCCATAGCTGGAAAAATCCCAATAACGAATTCAAGAAGAATCTTAAGTTAACTGGTGTGCCTACACTTCTCAAATACGGAACTGTAAGTATATACATTTTCTAGTTAGTTTGGAAAGAATCAAATGTGGTTAAAAGTCTGTAGTGCTTAGCAGAATTGCCAAATATTTCTTCTCCATTCTTAAGCCTGGCTTTATATACTGCTCTCAACTGAAATTATAAATTGTAATTATAAATTATAAAGAAATTATGTTTGCAAAAGATTGGTCTAATCCTGTATATGTCTATACAAAATTAAATCTCACAAGTGTCCAACGAGTTATTTTTTAAACAAAGCCAGCCATTGGTGTTTTAATGGATAAACTATTTCTCATTTGTGGTAACTGAGTAATTTAGCAGATATAATTTTGTGTCTTCTAAAAGTCCAGGCCAAAAAGGGATTGTGGGAGCACTAGAAAAATTGGAAAGAGTGCAGTTGGGAAAAATGTATCCAAAAATAAGCCATGTAGTTATTAAGTTACTTAGCAATTTAACAGTACATAGGCAGGAATGTCTCTACAAAGGATTTGGATCTTCTATCATACTTAGAAAAGTAATAATGTATCCTGACTTTTCTTTCAGCCTCAGAAACTGGTGGAAGAAGATTGTTTTAAAGCTAATCTTGTGCAAATGCTGTTTACAGAGGACTAAGCAACTTAAGCTATTACCAGCAGGAGAAACGCTTTTAGGTGAAACCATTATCATGTCAAACTGCCAATGAATAAATCTATAATCTAAGCTGACAAATTTAAATAAAATCACTATGGATTGTGTTTAACTGTCACTATGGACAGTTAAAATTGCGGCTAGTTTATATGAACCCATTTGCTGGAGATTATCTACTCTTAAGATTAGAATGGATTCCCTTAGTTTCAATGTCTAAGGCAAATATATTTTGGAAAATTATATTTTTCAGGCTTCTGCAGACATTGTATCATTTTATTCATTTTAAATGAACACCCACAGCAATAAATACTGTTGAATTTCTTTCAAAGGGTAAATGATATAGCTTCATTACTTAGAATAATTAATAATATATATGGATATATATATGAATAAAAGAATAAAATACGATCACCGGGAGGGTTAAAATAAGAATACTTTACTAAAAATATACTTATACTAAAAAGTTGCCAAGCTTTCGCTGGGGGAACTCCCCAGCATCGTCAGGGCTAAAAGGCCATTATAATAAAGGTGGTTTAAGTAGGTTCAAGTAACGTTTGCGCACGGCTCCTACACCGTGTTACTGGCCCTGATTGGCCAACTGATAACTAAGATGTGTCTATAACGATATGTTCTTCTCTTCGGATGCCCTTACCTATCCCTCCACTATTGGTCTTTGGAGGCGTTAGTAACCTTGCATCCCCTCCTCTTCCAATAATACCAACGCCTGCCGTATCGGGGGGAGGATTCAATCTGATGTTTTCTTGTGTCTTGTGATGGGGATAGGGTTCCACTAACTGTGGGTTAATATCCCTTCCCAATTGTATACCTCTTTCCTCCTTTGTCGTGTCAACAGCGAAAGCTTGGCAACTTTTTAGTATAAGTATATTTTTAGTAAAGTATTCTTATTTTAACCCTCCCGGTGATCGTATTTTATTCTTTTATTCATAATTATGCCTGGGAGTCGCATTTTTACCAATATTCTTGGATGGATATAGATAGATAGATAGATAGATAGATAGATAGATAGATAGATAGATAGATAGATAGATAGATAGATAGATGTGTGTGTGTGTGTATATGTGTATATATGTGTATATATATATATGTATATATGTGTATATGTGTATATATATATATATATATATATATATATATATATATATATATATATATATAGGTCTTTGGTTGTTCGGGTTTTCTCCCGCGTAAAATTGGAAGTGTCTTGGCGACGTTTCGACGAAGTCCCATTCGTCATCTTCAGGCTGGTGCTTTCAGCTTCGTGCTTCGAGGAGCAGTGTGTGGTCTTAGCTGTTTCTTCCTTTTAACTACCAGTGGGGGTATGAACTGATTGGGTGGGAGCTTGGCTGTGTTCTGATTGGGTGGAGGTGTGTTCTGATTGGTTAGGGGCGTGGCTGTGCTCTGATTGGGTGGGGGGTTGGCTGTGCTCTGATTGGCTGGGGGAGTGTTCTGTTTGGTTGTGCTCAGGTTAGTCTGAGATGCAGGGGGGTTTAAGATTTTGGGCTGCCTTGCTATTTTTTGGCTTCGCGTTCGTGGTCGTGCCTCATCTTCATAGAGGGTGTCAGTTTGCTTCATGTATGGATTGGAGGGGTTTAAAGTGGCTAATGATGCAGCTGTGGTCTGGCTTCTGGTTTGTGGTCGTGCCTCATCATCGGTGTGGCTTTGGGTTTGCTTTTTCGTCGAAACGTCGCAAAGACACTTCCAATTTTACGCGGGAGAAAACCCGAACAACCAAAGACCTACATACAAACACCCGCGAAAACCTCAGAAAACATGCTTAAGAATTTAGTAAAATTTAATAAAATTACAATAAAACCAATAAAATGCCTGCAACTGCTGACATCATCAGGGCTCAAAATGCCGGTCAGTGGGAGAGTCCTCTTTATAGATTGGTCAGAGTCTGCACTCGGCTCCTAGACCTTGTCATTGGGCCTGATGCAATAGACTGTTTCTCAGTTGCTGATTTCTTACTAGCAATAATTGCTTTCCTGCATTTTTTGCTTGTGTAGCTGTCATCGGGTGTTTTCTCTTTCCCAAATTCGGGGTTTAACAGAATATCCTCCCTCTCCTTTTCTGTTTTATTGCTACACCTACTTTGTTTAGTTGCACCCCTCCCTCCTCCCCTTTCCCCACTCTGTTCTGATTGCCCCGTTGCAACACACTGTCTCTTGTTTTCTTTGTAATTTCCCCAGTCATGGTCTCCGCAGATGTTATTCGAGTTAATTACTGTCACACCCCTTATTTCCTCCTTACTATTCTTGTAATAGTTAATGAACTCCCAAACATAAGAAATATGAGGACAAGGATGAGAAAGTATAGTTATTCTACACATTTACAATGACCAAGAAAATGACTTAGAAAAATAATTTTCTGAGAGCTAGAATGCTGATGGTTATAGGAAAATGACTGCTATTTGCTTAATAGACATGAGGCAGACTTTAAACACCAAAGGAAAATCATTGAGATTAACAAATGGAATTACTAAAGTGAATACCAACACCGGATGTAAATTATCTATTGTTAAATTATCTCTATCAGGTTTAAAGGAAGCTGGGTTCCTCTAACACAGTGGTTCTCAACCTGTGGGTCGGGACCCCATTTGGGGTCCAACGATCATTTCACGGGGGTCGCCAAACAAGGCTGTCCGCCATTTTTTCCCCCTTTTCTTTGGTCACGCCCCTAGCACCCGGTGATGTGTAAGTGGTTGGGGGTCACCACAACATGGGGAATTGTATTATGGGGTCGCGGCATTAGAAAGGTTGAGAACCACTGCTCTAACACAGTGTTTCTCAACCTTGACAATTTTAAGGCATGTGGATTTCAACTCCCAGAATTCCACAGCCAGCAATGCTGGCTGTGGAATTCTGGGAGTTGAAGTCCACATGCCTTAAAATTGTCAAGGTTGAGAAACACTGCATCTAACATTTGCCAACTATTACTGGCAACATTACACCAAAGTCTCCCTGAAGTCAGTATAGAAAATCTAAAATATAGAATTTTCCTATCAATTTTCAAGGAAATTTGCCTTAAAAGCAAGAAATTCTTCACTATATGCTACATCTTAACTGTAGAGTTGGAAAAGATTACAAGGATCATCTAGTCCAGCTTTTTAGTGTGTAGGACAACTATTCAAACTATCCGTGACAGGTGGCTACCCAGTAAACCTCAAGTCAAGTTGCGTGGCTAAGAGTGATGCTCTGAACTATAGTGAACATGTTTTTCCATCTATTGCAGTTATTGCTTTTGCTTTACATCCAAATCACTGGATCAAAAATTACAAAACTAATTCCTACGGACTTAGAGATAACCAGAATACCATTTACTAACACCCACAAACTAGCATACAACAAAAATGTTTAGCCACTTTTACTTCACAGTAAATGTTCCAAAATACTCTTCTGCTATACAGTATCAGGAAACACATCTACGCCTTTAAATCAGAGTATAAGAATCTCTTACATCCTGAAGAAATCATTTGTTTGGTCTGTGGCAAATCTGAAATTTCTAACCACAACTGCTAAACATCCACAAGCAACATTTTACTAATACCATCACCGTGCTAAGGCATTTCAGATATCAATTCCCCAGATTAAATCCACAGGTGCCTTCTGCCCTTGCAAGGAGTTTTTGTAGTGCCTAATGGCTCACTTGACAGAGGTGCTGTTCTGCTGTTGCTGCTGCTGCTGTTCTGCAAGGGCCTGCTGGAGGCGCATCCGCTTGCGGGAATAGTGTTGCCAGTGTAGTATCTGTTGCTCATCAATAAATTTTGCACACTGCGCATTCACTAGTTCTTTACGGAAATGTTCATATTGGAGCAGCTCTAGCATATGCAGGCATTGGGGATACCTTCATAATAAAAAATATAAGATACTTTTTAATGCTTTTCCTAAGCTACCAGTACTCTTGACAACAAATTGGGAATTCTAGAAATAGGAAGGAATCGATAAATATTCTAGTCACTTAATTTGAGGCAAATTGCCAGTTTTCTATTAAATTTAGTGAATAAAATTAATTATAACACTATTTTGCAATTAAATAAAATTTCCACATCATTCAGAACATTTGTTTTTGGTTAGCAAGATATAATTTTTAATTATAACACTTATATTTTCTTGTGAAATATTCATTTTGGTTCTTTACAAATGAAGATTCACCAAGCCAGATTTCTTATTCAAAAACTAATTATCAACAATTTTGGCCCAAGATAGCCCATAATGATTGAGAGTAGACTTCAATCTGTGTCTCTCCAGAAATCCTAAAGGGGTGCATGTATTATTTGAAAATGTATTCTCCTTTTTAAAACTTTTGTGACAGCATGAATCTAAAAAATTCAGTTCCAATTCCACTTGTCAGGCTACTGTGGTAAATATGGAGAGATCATATGCATGTATTCATCAATATTGTAAGTTAGAAAAGAGCCAGTGGTCACGCTTCCAGGTTCTGAAATAATTTGGGGATATCATATGCCCGTAACTCTGCTCTTGGCCAAATCCCTAGAATTGCACATAAGTATTTGAAAATCTGTCCTTTTACAGACCCAGCTACAGGAGGGAATAATAATTTTTACTCCATTTTTCCAAGGGGTTTTGGTGATTCCTGAAGAGGGGACTGGCAACTGTTTCATAAAAATACAGTTTTATGCTATGTGTTTTATGAACTTAGTACAAAGAGTTATATACATTATGATAATTCTTACTTTAGGTATCTGGCATACTCTGGTTCCTTCCAATAGAGCAAGTATTTTAAATAATTTACAAATGCTTTGTCTTTGAAGTATCCTCTCTGGGCAAGAACTAAAAGAGATACAAAAATAAATTTACTTAAAATTTGATCCTTTGTGCTGTATCAAATGATTATTTTCAAATGAAGACACACAATAAACTACAAAACAATATAGCTAGTCCTGACCAAATGTCCAGCTTTCTGATTTCAACATTTCTAATATTAAATGTTTAATTTTGTTGATTCATTTTTTTCCATTTGTAACCTGCCATACGGATTTTAGCCAAATCAAACAAACAAAGTTCAAGCTAATCATCATCTTTGACATTGACTTTAAAATATTTTGCCTATGAATTTGGGCCTACTTAGGAACACACATTATATTTCTGGTTAGTTTCTATATATTTTACTGTTTTCAATTTTGTACATTTTGTACTATAATTTCCTGTCTAGATTTTATGATTTGAAGAAACCAATAAAGATATCCTGATTCATATTATATTTTAGATACTTACAATTGAGGTAGTTGGGATTTGCTAAACACTGCACAAATTCCAGTTCTAGTTGGAAACGAAGTCGATTTCCAGTATCATCTGGGACAAAGATAAAGGAGTGTGGAATTATATAATATATATATTGCATGCATTAACTACCTGGTAATGTTTAGTTTTTATACCACTTAGGGCAGGAAATGGGGAAAATTGGATTCTTAAGATTTAGCCTGTATCAGTCTCAGAAAATATGCAATATCTCTGATACCAACATTTTTAGATCCTATTTAACATATAAGCCAATCTGAATGACTCATATCAGATTTGGTTATACTATTTAATAAAACTCAAAACAAATGAAAGGTATATACCACAAGACCAATGTGAAAAATTATTTTAATGGAAGTTCCTCAGGAACCTGCTGAGAACAATATTGTTTTCCTTTGGCTATTTAATGTATAAAGTCACTTTTTCAAGTTCAAACTACATATCCTATGACGGACTTAGGTCACGAAAATCTACAAGTTGTAATTCCAAAACATTGGTGGGATTAATTCTAGATGAACTACTACCAATCACTTTAGGAGCCTTGGCATGCCTTTAAAGTATGAACAGCCAAGAAGCTGCTTTACAGATGATGTGCAAACTTTTTATATATCTGTTTTGATCTTTCAAAAACTGGAACCACAACTCACATCGCTGACCATGCCGCGTGGAAAACAACAGATATGGTGGCCACCTGATGGAGGATGGCTGCTCTCGTGTAATCAGCAAAACACAAAGACAAGACTTCTCTCCCAGCTCCTGCAAATGCTTGGGGGGTTTTAATGCTCATTCCTCCTCCTTCAAGGACACGCCTCATTTACCTTTACGGTCGTCCAAGCAAGGGGCTATTCCGTATCAAGAGCAAGGAAGCTGCCATGCTTTTTACGGTAGTTTCATTTACTTATCTGTACAGATCAACTTATATGATGGGAATGACTTTTCAGTTAATATCAATTATATAAGAGGTACGGCAATTATTTGTTTAGAGGGCTTTTAAAAAAGGAAATACAGCCCCCCTCCCTCTCCCCCTCCCGTTATTTCCTCGGAGCCGCGTCCACTCACCGCCCTCCATGGTGGCGGACACAATAATCCGATCTCACGCACCAAGATGGCGGCCGCGGCGACGGTTCTGCGCCCTCCAAACACATCTCGATGCATTCTGGGAAATTCCCGGAGGAGGTCAGGACGCGTTGCGAGGCAACGGTGATGCCAGAAGCTGATATCTAGCTCCATGAGGGCATTAAAAAATCAGCCTTTTTGTCTATTTAAACTATGGCCACATTTGCTAAATAAAGACGCGTTTTATAGAAGTATTCGCACTGGCTCTTCACAGATATTTCTGCTATACCATAGCGATTCCAAGATAACCTCATGATAGAATAAAATGCCTCTAACCACTCCCAAATCATGACTCTTGGATATATTACGTCCATTCGCTGTGCTAAGGCTAAGCCCTAATATGGATTATTTTGTTTTAGTTTAGCATCTTGGACACTTCCACTCAGTGGTGATTTAACAATTTTTAATTATGCAAATGAATTTATAATCCTGTATAATATATGAGCCTGATCAGTAATTCAATCTCTGTCATCCACATTTTTTAAAAAATGCATAAATTGGGAACTTGTGATCCTTACAGGTTTTTTATTCTTTATTGTAGGGTGTTTACACATTTTTAACATTTATGTAAATGTAACAAAACAGATTTACATGATATGTTTGAAAAAATATTTTTAAAATGTCATCTTTGTGTAATTGAAGACCAGCTCATGACCACAGTTAAATCATATTCTAGACCAGTGGTTCTTAACCTTTTTGAACGAATCGCCCCCTTGAGACAATGAGGAAGTTGTCATCGCCCCCCTCCCCCAACATAACCTCTCAATCACAACATGGGAAATAATTCTTCAATTTATGCAAACACTTTTTTTGTTTTCTTTAAAATTGTTCATCAGGACATATCGATGCAAATAATTTATTTCCAGTTTTTTCCCCATATCTCCCATATTCTGGCTAATGGCGCGCCACTGTATGGGTAGAGGCTGCTGCACAACACGCATCAAGATAAGCAATGCGTATTTACATATGTACGGCGTTCTGTATGAAGCTAGCTGGAGGAACACTTGAAAACACAATTCAATCCACTAATAGCGAGTGATCTGATGTTTTTGTACGACAGATATACAGCCATTCACTGTACGAAAAAGTCTCAAAAGTGTCCCCAAAACTTCTTGTTCCATCGCCCCCATATCGCCCCCTTTTTTTTCCTTCGCCCTCACATCGCCCCTTTTCATTCCATCGCCACCCTGAAAAATGAAATCGCCCCCTGGGGGGCAATATCGCCCAGGTCAAGAACCACTGTTCTAGACAGTAATAAAATGCTTTCCATTTTGCTATGTGAAATTTTTTCTTGCTCTTTTTCCTCAGAAACACCTCTATATTTCTTTGTTTGTTCATTCACTCATACCATTTGTTTAGCCAGCCATCTCAAATCAGTAAATAGTCATAAAACAATTAGAACAGTTTAAACACAATACAAAAACCAAATTAAATACAAATAGCAATCAACAGATGTTAATATCCATTGCTGTTAATATAAGCAGTAAACACATACTCAGGACCCCAACATAGGTCTTCAAAGGCTTCTAGCAGAGCCATTCTAATCTTTGGAGGAAGAATGTTACAAATGGTAATAAAGTATTAATATTATAATTAAAAATAAATAGTTAAGTTATGGTGACACGCAAGATTTTACTTAAGAAGAATGCAAAATAGAATCAAGAGAAGATTTGGCATTAGAAGAATATACTTATCAATGGTCTTCCTACATACACTTACTAGAAAGATTTAAAGTAAATAAAATAGCTTTTGGTTTTGAACATTGTAAGACTGAGTTCGAAACAGAACTATGTACAAATGATGAACATGTTATTTCTAAAATGTATAAACGTCTACTGAAATTTGAAACAGAAAAACAAGTATGATCAAATTAATTATTATTATTTTTTGGTTACAACATATAAATGGAACAATGAGAGAATGTGGTTGAAAAGGATGAAGTTTATATTATCACCTTTAAAAAAATTTTTATAAAATGATGTTAGTATATGTCAGTGGTGGCAAACGTATGGCACGCGTGCCAGAGGCGGCACTCAGAGCCCTCTCTTTGGGCACATGCACCATGCCCAGGAGATGGCAATTGTCCCTCTTCAACCAGCTGCCCGCTAACTTGCTGAGGTCCCACATGGCTAAATGCATCCCAGATTTGGGGTGTGTGGCCAAGGTGGGCATGATCACCTCGATGTTGCTCGTGGGGAGGGACAGATGTGGGGGCAGGGCAGGGTTGGAGATCCAGGGGGTCTCTGGCAGGTGAGGTAGTGGGCAGGAGGCTCGTCCCGCAGGGTGACACAAGGCAAGGCAAGGCGGGGGTGCCATTGTCACAGGGAAAGGTGAGGCAGGGGGCAGGGCAGCTGCTGCTTGACACCATCAGCCCCTGCACACAGAGGCCAGCCCTTGGATCTCCAACCCTGCCTGGCCCCCACAGACATTCTTCCCCACAAGCAACATTGAGGTGATCACACCCACCTTGGCCACCCCTCCCCCAAATCTGCCATGACCACCACAGCCATGCCCACCCAGTGGGCCATGCCCACCTGGCACCCAGCGATAAATAAGTGGGGTTTGGGTTGCAGTTTGGGCACTCGGTCTCTAAAAGTTTCACCATCACTGGTATATGTCATCGGGGAAAAATTCTAGAATGTATAAAGGTACTTTAAATTTATACAGGAAATGTGGGGACATTTTACCATACTTGGTGGACATATAAAAAGATGAAAAATGGATTCAATTACATACATTCATTCAGAAGATTTTAAAAAATTGTAGCAGTTGAAGCCAGAGGGGTTTTTTTTGAGACTGATTGACAAAAAGCTGGAAAAAAGTTACAAAACTTTGTTTTTATATATGTTAACTGCAATTAGACTATTATATGCACATCAGTGGAATGACATGACACTACTCATAATGGAAGAATTTAGTATGCATCTTGTTTTTGATCTCACCTTTTTCCTCTTTGGCTCCTCTTGTTTTCAAGTGTTCAAAGGGCAGAGTGATTTCATTTGTTAACAGGAGGCAATGTTAACTTTTTGCCGTGACTGTGTCTCCTCCCTTTGCAATCGTGTTTTCTTCATTGTTCAAGTTTCGTGTACTATTCATCCAGAAGTCGAATTCTGAATGCTTGTAGGGAAAGAGAAGCAAAAGGCAGAGACACACATACCACTTTAAACATATTTTAAAGATATATTGACTAAAGAAATACGCTTTGCTATCAAAATTGTTTGCAAGCTATTTTTGTCAAGAATTTTTGCAATCAACTTTTACTTTTACAGCTGAAAGTTCTCACTTAGTGAAACTTAGAAGCCAATGGCTGACCAATTTTTAAAAGACCTTGAAGATTCAGGTTTGAGGGAACCCTCTGAAATGAGACCTTTGGTGATCAAATGGATTGAAGAACGGTTTCCAGGAGTCAAGTCAATAACAACACAAACCCTCCAGCAGTGGATGGAAGATAAACCAGGAGAGCTTCTCCTTCTTGTAAGTTGCTTTCTCCTTTGCTGAATCATTGCCTTTTGGTTGGATATGCAGAAAGTTTTCCAATATGTTAATAAGATTAATGGCATTAGGTTGTATCAATTGATAGATCTATAAAACCACCATGTCACATGGAATACTATGTTGGCAAATCTTCAGGGTTTTCCTACCCTTTCTCTTTTCAGATTGATTCATGTCATTTCTGTAAATACCAGCAATATAAAAATTGTCAGGAAGATGTAGAGAGTGGACCTTTGAGTAACTGGCAGTAGAGATAGCAATAGTACTTAGAGAGGTATATACTGCCCGTAGTGCTTTATAGCACTTTCTGGCTAGTGTACAATGTCAGCCTATTGCCCCCAACAATCTGGGTACTCATTTTACCGATCTTGAAAGGATGAAAGGCTGAGTCAACCTTGATCCCGTCAGAATTGAACTCCAAGCTGTGGGCAGAGACAGCCTGCAATACTGCATTCTAACCACTGCGCCCAGATACATGAGAGGCTGCAATCTTATTCTTGCAGGAAAGGAAGGAATTCCTTTCAAGTGGCAATCTAACCAAAGAATCCAGCTGACAACTTTAGGCCCTCCAAACTAAATATATTATTTTTTTAATGCCAGGTCAGCTGCTGATTAAACAATTGAAACAATGCTTAAATAAACATTTAATATGGAAGAACATAAGATTCCAAAAGAAAATGTAATGCTCCAGACAGATCACAAGGGGGCAGTGGTCTGCTACTATTCCCCAAATCACTATAAAGAGTCTGGAAGAAGGTTCAGATCAGATTTCTAAATTATTGTTATCTTTATCAACATAACCTGAAAAACAATTGAACAGCAAAAATAATTTGTACAGGAAAATAAAGGAAATAAGATTTAGTACAACACAGAAAATAGAAATAAAAAACTTAATACAAATGTCTGGATTATACATTTTACTTATTTCTACATTCCTGAAGCGAATAGTTCAATTTTCTGAGCTTCTCCAGGTTCTTAGAAATTCCAAATGTTTATCAGTGTCTGCAGGGAAAAATGACTGCCTCCTCGTTTTCCATCTTCTCTCCACAGACTTTACTATTTAAAAAACAAATTGTTTTTTACCTTCAGCAATGGGAGAGTCTAAGGATAATCTGTATGTGACATAGTGCAGTCTTTTGCACATGAGGATGTGAATGTAAATCTAAGTCTGCAGTTTTCCAAACAGGCTAAATTCACAAGAACATTCTCAATAAAAGTGCCACCATCCTGAAATGTATTATAAAAATAAAGCTGAGAAGGGGTGGCAGGAATTAATCCCTACCAGCTCCTCTGAATTACTCTGTGATTAGTAGTGTGATGGTAGTCTATAGAAACTGCATCTTACTAATCAGAAGTTCCATCCAATAGTCTGCTGATTTTGCTGGTTAGCTGGATGGCAGGAACATTAACATCCCACTGCATAGTCTTGTCTTTTTTTTTTTTTAAATTAGCCACAATGACTTCTGGCAAGGTGGTGAAATATTCTAGATTTTGCTTGTCTTGAGGGATTTCAGAGCCATCATGAACTTGCAGCTACTGTTATCTGGCCCTCACATGCAGTAGAACCCATGCTAGATTTGGTTTACTGATGTTAGGCCTTTAAAATAAGTCAGATCAGAAAACAGTCTCCAAATGTTTCCTGGAATTATACTTTGTTGACATAGGCTATACTATAGGAACAGAATCATGAAAACCTGACTGCCTTTGCCCATATCTCAGTGAATTAGGGAGTAGTCAATATGAAGCTCTTTCTCACACTTACTGTTTCCTGGGCTTAAAGCATGTTTTTTGTAACTATAGTCTTTGCCTAGCCTCCCACAGATCATCTCTGTAGTTCTTTACTACCTGTTTAGCTGGAGTCAGTGATTTAAAAGATCTGTCTATAACTCTGTTGTCATGAATTGATGGCTGCCATAAATCTCTGCCACAATTGAGACAGCTGAAACAGCCAAAAAATCTAAGTGTTTGAGAATTTCCATCTTGTCTGTTAGTAAAACTGTTGGATACTGGCTGAACTATAGAACACAAAAATGACTAGGGTAAGTGCCCTTGTAACATGTTTCTTCTTCCCTCTAGCAGAGCTAAGTAGATGCCTTTGGCAGCACAGAGCAAAAAATCAGATAGGTGGAAGCTGCAGCATAGGTGGAGGAACTCTTGGAAAGTCAGATCAAAAATGAAGTGAGACATATGTAAGTCCCATGTGAAATCCTATTCTGTGACGGGATGCAGAAGGACTATTTCTTTATATCTATTGATACAAGCTCTATAAGGCTGACAAACTCAGGAAACAAGAAACACTAGGATTTTCAAAAATATTTTTATTCGTAATAGTAGCAAAATAGAAACTTGAAAGCCTGTCAGGGCAATTGACCTGCTCAACATATCCCTAGCATTAGGAAGGAGTTACTCTGAGCCTCTTTCTCACACTTCCCCCCCCCCCCATGCTGAGATGCCTCTTTTGCAATAGTCCTATTTCCTCCTCCACTTTCCCAGAACCTGTTAGACATTCCATCACAATTGTGTTTGCCCAAAAGATGCCAGTGATGCTTTTCTATAGTGTGCAGTGTCTCTTTCATCAACATGTTGCAGGGTAGATAACACTGAGAAAGCTCACAGAGAACAATTGCCCTTCAGGGACAAAGTTGAGCAAGACATAACTCAGAATTGGGGTATCAGGGTTGTACTCACTTGCTCAATCCTTGCTCCACCCAGCTGATTAAATCAGACAGTTTGTGCTTAGCTCATGGTTAAGGGAGATAAGCATCCTTAAGTGTCAGATCCATTCCCACCTACTTAAAGGAAACTTTGTTATAATGAAAAAGGCCTTATTGTACACAGAGGATATCTGTAATTATAGACAAACCTCAAATATTCCTGGGTAAGATGATCAAGGAAGCAGTGGCCTTGCAGTTCCATACACAAATAGTCTTCAACTTACAACTGTAATGCAGTCTTTTCATTAGAGTTGCAAGTCATGATTTCATTATATGAGGTGTCCACATAATCACTTTGCTTTACAAACCCCAATTCCTGCTCTCCCCAATGCAGTCATTAAGTGACCAGGTGGGTCATTAAGGCCCAGGTACCTCAGCAATGGGTAAGGCCTGGGAAACCTATTGCAGGCCCAGGCCCACACTGCAATGCGTCCCCAGTTCACACATAGCCTGCTTTGGGTGTTCCAAGGTCTCCACCACTCTTGAGGAACCCCATGTTCCATTTCCAGCCTCTTGGAATCCCTGCAGGCCTTGGGCCTGCTTCCCAACCTGCTAGATCTCACATTCTCCTCCCCACACTCTGTCACTGACTTACCTTTCCAATGCTGTAGATCTCTTTCTGGAAGCAGCCATTCCACCATGCAGCCTTCCTACACAATGAAGGCTGCATGGATCCTTCCCAGAAGTGGGCACCCTTTCAGAAGGGCCACAATTTATCATAGCCACTCCCAAAATGGCTCCCGCTTCAGGGATTGTGCCATACAGCCTATACTCTGTAGGGAGGCTGAGAGGCAGAGCACCTTGTTCTCCTTTGCCAATGCGATCTCTGGAGCTTAAAAGTTTTAAAAATATATTAAATAATTAAGTGATTACGGGTAACTATTTCATTTTTCATTAATGTTTTCCAAAGAAAGTTTTTTTTGTCCATTTTAAACTAGAGTTATCCCAAAGAATCAGATTCTCATGACAGCTGTGATCACATTTTTCTTATTCTTACATATATATTCACACACACACACACACACACACACATAATGTATTATTAAATGTATATGCTACCTGTCTTATTTTCAACCACCTCTTAATATCCCCAGTATTGTGTGCTATACAGTTTTAAATATTAATCTCTTCCAAGCAAGATATAGTCCTAGAAATATCACCAAGTTTTTAATAATCTGGAGAAAAAAATAATAAAAAAAATAATACCAACTGGTAAAATACTGAATTTGTTCCCATTTTTGTATATCTAAAGTATTTACAGCATGGCTATACCATCTCTGCAAATCTAAATAAAAGGCTCATTACATTGTCAATACATCAACAACTTATTTTCATTTCTTGCCCTCTGAATACATTGGATATCACCAGACTGTTGTATTAATGTCAGTTTTCAGCACCATTATTTTATTTGTCAAAAAGAAAGGACATATATCAAAATGCCACATTAACAGTATTCTGAAATGACATTTATTGCATTTCATTTGCATATTTGCAATATCAGTCATGTTTTTGTTCATTACTAGGTTTCTGTTGGTAATTTCTCAAATTTCCCTGTACTTGTCAGCTTCATTTACTGTTTTCCTCCTTCCTACTGCTATTTTTGCTTTAATGGCTTCCCATATATTTCTTGGGTTCACATGATTCCAAGTCAGATGTGGGAGAAGGACAGGCAACTATCTTAGATACAGACAGTTGTGAAATCAGATCTATCTCAAAATGCTTTGCCCCATGGTGGACACTTCCCTGCTAGCTTCTTTAATATTGACAGGTGAAATATGTGAAAGGAGGGATGTGTGCTGCAGCTATTTCACCACACAGCCTCTCCTATAATCCCTTTTCAACCCATGTCTGCAAAACCATTGTGCAAAGCCTGGAGCAAGTTTTGACAGATGAGTTAGCTTGTCAGTCTTGCTAGCCATCAAAAGTCATCCTATAGTCATTACCTTCAAAGTGATAACCCCATCAAAGTCCTTTCTGGAGGAACATGTTGCTTATCAAGTGCAGCTGTGATGCATCACTAGCCCATTCCCTGATGTTTATGGTGCTACCTGTAACTGAGAGCTTATGGCAAAATCCTAGCATGCAAATGATCTGCTTCATGGAACATTTAAAACAGTCCTCTTCAGATATACAAATACTGTTATTCTAATTCTAATTCTTCACAGTAAGGTTCCTAGCCCGGCTTGCTTGAATTTACTTGAATGAGATGTAACTGCAGGTTCCAATACATGAAAAGGGGGAAGGGAGGGGATGAAAATGTCTTCTAGT